TAGGGGGTGTGAACTCTGAGACTGACATCTCATTATTTTCAAGCCAATTCCAAGAATTCCTATATTATGAACACAGAGACAAATTAGATCTTACTACTCTTTTGGTTTTTTATTGCTTTACTAAATATAGAAAGTTTTATTAAAGCAAACAAAAAAGCAGGTATCTTCAAAAGCAACCAGCTGATTCCAAGACTAAGAAACACAATTTAGAATATGATCCTAGAGGAAAAGTGCTTTTATATAAATAGCTCAATTTTCTGTTATTATTAAAGCTAAACTGCACTACAGAAATATATTATTGAAGAAGCTAAATTTTATTAACCTCTTGTGTTTATTTCTTATATTTCCTCCAAGCAACATTAAAACCAAGAAACTGCTTACAACTTACACACAATCTTTCTTCTTCCTGAGGCCTCTAGAGAACCCTAGAAATTCTAATTAGAATTAGCAGTTATACATATTTTATTATTATTTCAAATTTAGTTAATATTAGCCATCATTACGTTAATTCTTATACAATATCACTATTATCTATAATTACTATAAATTTTAAGGAAAATGATACTATTATTAGCCCCTTGATGTTTCTATGCAGCCAAATATTATCAAATCAATAATAAAACTAGAACACAAATACAAATTCCAACAGTTGCATATGTGATATATATATATATTCACAAGTACTAACAAGGCCTTTTCAAGTTGTCTCTAATACACAGAGATATAATTTTTTCACTAATCCAGACATCATTTTGAGATACACTTTGTAATACAGCATCATTATGGCTTGTAAGAAGAACTTAAATATTATAAGTGTGGGGGCAAAGGCCATAGGAACTAGAATACACAACAGATATTAAGAATTCCTACTTGTCAGGAAATCACATCTTGCCTAGCCTAAGGGTGTTTATTTGCAAGCTTTGTTCCATCATCTATCTGTGAATTCCCATCACCTATGCATATGCCAAACATCTGCTCAATGATGAGTTATTGAGCCCCTCATGCTTAAAAAAACAAAACCCTATTTCCTCAATGTGAAGTTCACTTTACTACCTTCACCCCCAAGTCCCAACCCAACAGGACATGCTTTCAGCACAGTATGGGCTTCACCTCCCACCACCCCATTACTTTGCTAATGGTGTTCTTGGTCTAAAATGCCTTCTATTCTACTTCCCCTACTGAAATTCTACCAAAACACAAGGCCCAATTCAAATGAAACCACCTATGGCATCCCCATTTGACCTACGCAAAATTAACTATTTCCATTTTGGCATTTTTAGAATATCTATGTTGATATTTAATACAACTTGAATAAATGTAGTGGTCCTCTTCCTCTCCCCTTCCCTACATGATGAATCCCATAGTAGAGGAATAAGCCTATTCTCTCTCCCTCCCATGTATTTTGCACATGGTGCCGACTCTAAAAATAGAACTAACCAAAATGAAAGATCCATTCTCTCCTAAAATAAAAATAATTTGGTTTATAATAGAAAGTTAAAAATAAATTTATCTACAACTCTAAGATAAGTACTTCAAATAGAAATTATAATTTAATGGTACTTTCCTATATTGAATATTTACATATTTAAATACTATAGTTATCAGAACTAGTGTATTTTAGGACTTCTTTCTATTTAGCAATCAAAAGCAACTTTAAATACCTAGATTAAACCTTTTCTTAAAACAGACCTGTAAAGCTTTCCAATGAATTTAGGAAACAGATCCTTGAGCTCTCCAAACCCCTTGCAGTAGGAGGAAATTCTCAGAGGTTTAAGAACAGTGGGCATAAGAGCTTTGGAAATAGTTCTTAGAAACAATGAGTGTGTGGCTGCTTCCTGATTGCATGTGAGTGACAGGCAACCTGCACCTGAATGGGGAAGAAAATGATGCCCTGGAGCTAGGAACTCCAGGAACTTCAAGGCTGCTTGGGTCACTGGAGCCAGAGCCCCCATTAATTTCTTACAGATCCTGCCACCTACTGACCAAATTATAAATCAAGACTCTGTGAAAGACAAAGAACTTCAGCTATTACAGCAAGATCAATCGATAGTTATTAAGTGGTATTAAAATAAATGGCAGTTGTATAGAATGAAAATGTGTTTTGGCTATACTGTACTTGTCTGGAATATGCTATAATGCTTAATTGTTCTGTTAAATGTCCCTTCAAAAATAAATCTTAGTAAAAGTCATGGTATTTGCAGGTGTGCCTGACCTGATTTGTACTCAAATACTTAAAATTAGGAAAGAAATAGTAGCAGCACTGCTTAGAAAATTCCAAGACTCAGAGTTAAGAGGAATGGAAATGCAATGTTCTCAGCAATGAGTACATGAGAGCCTTAAAAAATATCCTTATCCAACTATATTTTTCAATTGATTTTTAGAGAGAATAGAAGGGAGAAGGAAAGACAGAGAAAGAGAAATAACAAAGATGAAAAAGACATGTCAATTGGTTGCTTCCGCATGCACCCTGACCAGAACAGGTTCATCCAACCTGCAACCAAGGTGTGTGCCCTTGACTGGCATGGAGTCCAGGATGCTTCAGTCCATGGGCCGATGGTCTATCCACTGAGTGAAACTGGCTAGGGCACATGAGAACCTTTATGTGAATTTTGTTTAGTTTTATTTTGGTTTGATTAGATTTTAGCAGTCACAATAAGAATTGCTTCTATTGTAACTGATAGGCTCTACCAAGTGCTGCTCTTAAGAGCAGGAAATTCTCTTGCTGAATTAACAGTTATATTAAATGCCAATAACTGAAACAAAGCACACACAACATGTTAAATGAAAGGTAAGGGAAAATTAATATGTATTGAGTGCCTGCTATGCTAAGCACTGTGCTGGGTGCTTTAAATATATAACCTTATTTAATTCTCACAAAACTACTAGGTAAACATTAGTCTACTCATTTTATGGATGAGATAATTCAGTCTCAGAGATTACATGCAGCACAGTTGGAATGCAAATATGTGTAACTCCATTTCCTCTGGCTTTCCCCATTATGCCACACTACCTGTAGAAACTCTCCAATGGGTTTTCTAGTTACCTCTATGTTTAAAACTTCACTTTCTTCATTGGTAAAATAAAAAAATCACTTCTAAGGTTCAAACTAACGCTAAAATTTTATGCAACCCATGATTCTTGTGGGACTCAATCCAAATACATCAGTAAATAAAAGAGCAAGTGCTCAATGCAGAGTATGCAAAGAACTGTTAAGAAAAGTTCATGGAAATAAGAAATTAAAATTGCCTCTGAATAGAAGAAAAGCTGCTCAACCTCACTCATAATTTAAGAAGTAAAAATTATAACATGGATGATTTACCATTTTCACCTCTTCAATGGGAACAGAAACTCATATGATTTACATGGCACTATAAATGGACACAATCTCTTTGGAAGACCATTTGGTAATATCCATCAAAATTATACATGTCCACAGCATTTTAGACAGGAACTTCACTTTTAGAATTTATCCTACAGATAGATCCCATGTGCACAAATGTATAATATATGTAGGTACATGTTCACTGAAGCATTGCTTGAAATAGCAAAGGACTGGAACTAAACTACATATCCATTACTAGGGGACTGGTTACATAAATTCAAATGGGCCCAGACTGCAAAATTGTATGCAGTATATAAAAAGAACAGAGGAAACAAACAAAATCTATTATGGAATAATATCCAAGGACAAAAGTGAAAACAGCAGGAAGTAACAAAAAAGATAAATATTCATTTGCTTCTAGAGGCATAGACTATTTCTCATAGGCAATGTGAGAAATTAGTAAGAGTGGTTTTCTCTGGAGAAGAAGCTGTAAGTCTGGGATTGAAGGATATGTTTACCATGTGTCTTTTATTTCTTTTTCTTTTTAAGTATATACAAACCTTAATATAAGCATATTTTACTTTTTCAATTTAGAAAAAGTGTTTATAATAGTAGTCTATGGAGTCATTGAAGAACCACTCAAATGTAAGGTCTACTATAGAAAAGAAGGGGGAAAAGACCTAATGAGAGGAATTTTGTAAAATGTCAGAATTCTTCAAAATACTGTAATCTCCCAGATTTCTGTGTGTGCAAACTTCAATTCACAAGGAACAACAAATATAGCACAAGCACCTCCAGTGTGCAAGATTTGATAGACTGGCTGAAAAGAAATAATATCTTTGTCTCTCTTTGTAACTTCCAAAAGTCATATTTTCACATGTTGGGGCATGTTGTGATAAATGAATGGTAAAGGTGCTAATTCTATGGGCAAAAGAATATAAAATACATCAATTTCTTAGTTGTAAAGATTCAGACTGAAAAAATCATACGTTTAACTAAACTATCAATTCTACAATGATTATTAAAATAGTAAATGTTAATATAAACTATCAAAAATTCACAAACTACAACATTTACTTAAAAGATTGAGAAGTTACCTCTATAGCACCAAAATTATGTGGGACATTCACAAGAGCCTATCATAAATAAGGCACTCTTAGCAAATCAGTAAAAAAAATACTAGGAACCAGATTTTTATATTATTCCACAAAATTTGCTTATGGAAAGAAACTAACTATAAAATTTCCTAGGAAACCAAATTGACAAGTAGTACAAATGTAAGAGGAAAGACTCCTTGAGCACGAAGGTATCAATCTTATTCCAATATCATGAAAACTTAAAGCCATCAGTATTATTGCATTATTTTATCTTACATGGTAAGTCAACAAACTCATTTCTTCTGCTTCTCAGTAAAAGTGACAACTTTATAATAGAGAGGGAATAACACATTAAACAATAAAAATAAAACGTAGATTTTTCAGATGAATAACATTTATGCAAAATAAAATTAAAAGGCAAAAGAGCTACTTTCTTTATTTGCTGGGTACATGCAGTTAATATTAATCTACTCATGTTTGACTCTGTCCATGGAAAGATGACACATGTATTAATAGAAATTTAGCAAAGCAATCAATTCAATATATCAGAAAAAAAAGAATTCATATAAAAAATAATGTACCTTTCATCTGGGTAGCAAAATTCAGTGCCAATTTTGCAAAGAGATCTGGATTTTCAAACTTGTCCTCCTTAACCTTCAACCAGAAACAGTTCTCAGATAATTCTTTGGGTTCAATCTGAAACAAAAACAACAAACATGTTTCAAAAATGTTATATTTAACTTTTCAAGTATTCACTTTCACCACAGTTGAATGACAGTTCATTTACTCATTTACCTACTAAATCAACTTTAGGACCCAACAAAATAATACTATTGAAGTAAATATTTATTGGAAAAGGCACAGAATTCAATTAGTAAATAGAAAAGGCATATGATAACAATAGGCCTTATAGCAAATTACATTTAAAAAATCTACTGAAATAAAAATCTTCTACCAGAAGAAATCTTAGAAATAATTTAGCAAATTCTTTCCCAACTCTCATACATTCTTTGTGCTCCTGGATTTTTTAAAATGGGGAAACTAAAGATTCAGAAATGTGAATTTCCTATATTCACTGATTAAGTTGAAGTCAATAACCATAATAATAGTTGATATATACCTCCAACCATGTGTCCAGTACTGTTTTAAGTGATTTGCTATATCAACTCATCTAATTCTTTGAGGCAGGACCTATTATTATTTCCATGTTAAAGATGAGGAAACTGAGCCTCAGAAAGCTTCAGTAGCTGCCCAAGGCAGTAAATAACAAAGACTGGATTTAAAACTAGGCAGTATAGTTTCAGAAATTGTGCACTTAGTCACTACACTGAAACCCAAGTTTAGAATTGTGCATTTTCCAGGGCATCATGATGCTTCATGATCCCTAGTACCATTAAACTGCATGCTAAATTAACATACCATTACATTTACACACAAAAACAACTGAATCAACAGCTTAGAGATCCCATAGTTTGGTAGATTGTACCTAATTTTTTAAAAATCTACTTTCTAAAGCCATTTACTTTCTGAGCAAAGCGTAAGTATATACATAACTATAAAACTGATTTACTGTTATTCTGGAAAACCAATTTTCTATGTAGATACTGTCAAATATCACTGTATGTTTTTAGATGAGCCATTGCCCCAACTGGTAGTCTGGGTAACTGTATTGGAGAACATCATGCTGAGTGAAATAAGCCAATCAATGAAAGAGAAACACCACATGACCTCACTCATTTGTGGATAATAAAGAGCATTATAAACTGATGAACCAAAAGATAGATATAGAGACAGTAAAGCAACAAGCAGATTGTCAAATTACAGCGGGGAGGGGAGGAGGATCTGGGGGAGATAATAGATCAACCGAAGGACTTGTATACATGCATATAAGTACAACCAATGGACATAAAACTATGGGGAGGGAGGGGATATGGGGGAGGGAGGGAGGGGGGCAAAAAAAATCATTAAAATATGTAAAAAAAATAAATTAATTAATTAAAAAAAAAAATTCTTTCCTAGTGAATGAGGACTGTGCAAATCTCAATAATAAGCTTTTTACAATACATATTATGTGATAATACAGCAAAATATTATGGAAAAGAACAAACATTCATACATCATATCAAAAAACAACTGAGTTATTCACTACTGACTACTGTCACCTATCTCAAATTATCTAAAAACTAAAAATTAATAATAATCATTCCCTATAAACAAAAAGAACTAAGATATAGAGGATCAATGAAAAAAAAAGGGGGGGGGGTATTTACTGTTACAGTACTGAAAGGTAATGATGATGTAAGAATCAAAATTTTTTTTCATTTGGTGATATACTTCATATATTAGTCTAATTATCACTTTCACTTTGATCTTTCTTTTGCCTTCTATTTTAATTTCAAATTTTCTGTGCAGTTAAACAGCAAAATTTGTACCAGGAAAAATGAACATAAGATGGTCCTCAAATACGATATAATACTCATACATAGCAATACAGTCACTCACACATTAATGATGAACTATGGCTAGACAAAGCCAAAAAACTCTAGTTGTAGTATTACCTTTGACCAATTAATTCTCTTCATGGACACCTCTGGTTTATATATTTTTTTCTGCTTCATTCCATAAGGCAGATCAATTGGTGCTCCTGGAGGAGGAGGAATTCCTCCAAGGGGAGGTGGTGGAGGAGGTCCCCCAAACAAAGGTGGTGGTGGTGGTATGCCTCCTGGTAAAGGAGGAGGAGGAGGGGGGACTCCAAGGGGTGGAGGTGGAGGTGGAGGTGGGGGAGGCCCACCACCTGGCAATTGAGGTGGTGGAGGAGGGCCTGGGATTCCTGATGCACCTGAGACTCCATGTCCCTGAAACATAAATAACACAATGTTTAAATACTTAGAGCAAAATATAGCAGCAAAGAAAACTTACCAGGAGACATTTGTGCTTGGTTTAAGATTACATGCACTTTATTAAACTGAGCAACAACTTAAGGGCTTAACAGTATATGGAAAAGACTTGCATAAATTTTTGATAAGCATAATAAACTCTAGACATTGACTGATTTTGCTAAAACACTAATGCTAGGAAAGTTGGCATCCTCAAAGATTTTATGAAACACTCTCCCAAAATAATGAAAAAATTTACCTTTCATTATAACTATATGCAAAAAGGAAGTATATTATGTGGCTTGGGCCTGTTAGACTAGTTGGTTTGAATGTGAGATAGTTAATACTTTAAAGCTCATTGATTTGATTTTCTTGGGGCCACCTAGCTTTACAGAGGGTCTGTCTCAGAGCACCAGTAACTCAGCTGTCTTCAAATACCAATAATTAATACTAAGTAACATCTATTTGCATATTAATATTCAGTCATCAATGCCTTTACACATATTTTTATTTTCATTCTTATTATAACCCTGGAATGTAGATAGGGCATTTTTATTTCACCATTATCTTACTGCTTACAGATGAGTGAACAGTAACTGAAAAAATGTTAAAAGACCAATCAAAGTCACACAGTCTGAAATGTGATTAAGATTGGAATGTAGCCCTAACCGGTTTGGCTCAGTGAATAGAGCATTGGCCTGCAGACTGACAGGTTCCAGGTTTGATTCTGGTCAAGGGCATGTACCTTGGTTGCAGGCACATCCCCAGTAGGGGGAGTGCAGGAGGCAGCTGATCAATGTTTCTCATCTGATGTTTCTAACTCTCTATTCTTCTTCCTTCCTCTCTGTAAAAAGTCAATAAAATATGTATTTTTTTAAAAAAGACTAGAAAGTGGTTTTTCTCATACCTAATGCACTCCTCCTTCCACAATAGCAGACTACCTCCTCATGAATGGGTGCCATTGCCATAAGGGAAATTAATTCACTCAGGTTACATTACCAGAAAGTAACTTCAAACTCATTAGCTAACATATAGGATGATAGATGAAAGAGAACATAGCATTCCATATTGTCTGCTTTTTTGATGATTAATTTGTATCTGATTCTTTAAACAATTACTGATCACAATGGTTCACTTTCCAAAGTAAATTGATATAGACGGGAAGTTGTTCATTATAAACATTCCTAAGAAACTTCTATGAATGAATAGACATCTTTTGTAATCAAGATATGACATTAGATTAACTGAATAAATACAATCAAAGTGTTCTTACACCTAACAAATGGCAATCCTGTAGTGAAATGCAACCTTCCTCAGAGATTAGAAAGAATTAAAGATAGAATTACATATGAATCATTCTTTTAATTTTATTTTTAATACAGCAAAATTATAGAAAACAGCCTGATGTTTACAATCTTAATGGGCATCAAAGAAATACTGGAGAAAATTAAAATAATTTTTTTCTGAAAAATTCAGGGAATTAGTAAATTATCCTACAAATTGTGCATAAAATGATTTGTTAAATAATTTGAAAGGTAAAACATGTATCCCATTTTTATATCAAAACAGAAAAGTAAAGTAATACATATTTATAAATATAAAATTTTGCCTCTATTAGATCATATTTATGATATAAAATGTGAGCAGCCACTGTAATTTTAAAATAGGATTTTACTCAAGTTAAATACATACTTTTTCAAATTTAATAAAGAATCTCAAATGTTTATATTAAATGCCAACCGCCTTTAAATATAAAATCATATCAGCCCTTTTATTCCCTCCAATGAACAGTTAGGAATGGAACAACTAAATTAGGCTACAATAGAGTATTGAAAATTAAATATTGCAAATGAATCATATTGACACAATTTTGGGTGCACTAGAAAGCATTCTGTGTCTCTGCACTTTTACAGATTAGTTCATTTAATAAATCAGCTCACTATTCACTAAATGGTAAGGCCTTGTGCCAGGTGCAGTAGGGCCTTAAATAAGAATAATAAGTAAAGACATTGTCCTCAAGGTGTTTATGCTCCAGGGGAAGAAACAAAACAGGTATGCAAACAAATACGACATGAGTAGTCTACAAAAGTGATATAGAAGTCCACAGAAATTCCTTAATGGAGTTATTGGTGAAGCTTTACAAAGGATATTTTACTGAGCTTATCCTTAAAGAATATGTTTTACAGGCACAGATGAACAAGGGAGAGCATTTTTGGCAGAGAAACATTAAAATTGACATTTCTTGACTAAGTTTCATAAAAGCACTATTTTCCAGGAGATGTTCACAGGTGGTCTGAAATAAAGGATTCTAGCTTATGAGTCTGGGAAAGCTCTATGAAAAAGAAGTGGACAGGTTTCTTCAATGTAGGACATCTCAGACCCTCTAATATGCTAATGAGTATTCCAACTCTCCAAGAAGAGAATTTCAAGTGTACCAAATTTATTGGACTATGGCATGCTTTCCTCATGAAAAACCTATTAGCATCTCTGTAACTAATGTCTGGGAAATGCTGGCAGAAGGAATGTGGAGACAGTAAATTCTAAATGTGAAGGGAGGGAAGGTGACTTAGCTGCAACAGAGGCTGTAGTTAGGGGAGCATTCAGACTAGGCTGCAAAGGAGAGATAAGGAAGCCCATGATAGAAGGCCTTCACATTCCTGGTAAGAAGATTTTTATTTAATCCTGAATGCAACAGGCAGCCATTGGAAATATTAAAGTCAGAGTGACAATAATCAGGGCAGTGTTTTAGGAAGATTAATTTGCCACTGACAAAAAGGATGAATCTGAGGAGGAAGAGACTATAGGCAGGAAGAAAAGTTAAGAAACAATGGTAGTATTCCAGGCAGAAAGTAACGGGAAGTAATGGGAGCAGTTCTGGGTTTTGATGCAAGTGAAAAGGATTGGAGAAAGAACTGTCATAAAACAGCAGCCAGCTTAATTTGTCAGATGACAGGGCAGGGAAAAGGCACTCCCCTCCCCAGCTTCAGGATCAAAACAACTTGTGGTAAAATTTAAACAAGTGAGAATGGAAATCAAGCTGGGTTTAGAAAATAGAGGTGACCACAGATAATGGATTTGATTTCAACATCCATGTGGAAACGTAATCACGAGATGGAAATACAAGACAAACTCAGGAGACCTGACACCTACCAAAAGGTGATATTTGAATTATAATATTGAATGAATATTACTTTAAGGACAAACAGAGAAAAAGAGAGCAGGGGAAAGAACATTAGTGAATGTCACCATTTGGTAGTCAAAAACAAAAATAAAAACTGAGCTCTCAGAGATGTAAAAAGAGAAGTCAGATAATAGCAAAAAAGAGAAATAAATATTTAGTAAAAAGAAATAAAATGAATGAAACAGGTTAAGGGAAGGAAAAGGCTACCACAATGGGTAACTGGGAGTTCTTGGGTGACTATGAAAAGTCATTTTTCAGTAGACTAATAGCAAAAGAACTAATCCATCAACCAGTACCTCAGCATCTACAATGTTAAGAAGTTATCTTACTATTCTTATATGCACTGAAAACATAAAATGTGTTGAGAGTACTTAATCAGTTATTACGTTTAGACAGTATAATTAAGATTTTAAGTGTACATGGAGTCTTTTCATCATAGGGAATGTAAGTGCAAATGCAAAGTTTATAAGTTTTCAAATGATGGTATTCAAGATTTAAAGAGATCACAAAAAGCTTTGGGGATAATTAAAATTAAGGAGCACTTTCATGTTACTTTTAAAAGAAAAAGAGTATGCACCTAATTTTTCAAATCATGATGAAAATTTCATCTCAGAGACAGTTTTGCTTGTATAATGTATTCCATTAAGGTTATTCAGCGCAGTTCAAGTGACTAATGCCTTATTGTTATCCAAACATTAAAATGATTTATTGTCCTAGAAAATCAAATCTGTAGTTATTTCAACAAAAATGTGAAACTGCCAAAAGTCTGCTTCTGGTCATATTTTTCCTTCATCTAACAAGATAATTTCTACCATCAACCTCACTGTGACATGACACAAAGCCTATATCTTGTTTCATTACCTGGGTTCGAAGTTGCTGGATTTCTGTTTCAAGCTCCTTGATTTTTTCTTCTCTTTTCTGAAGCTCAGCTTGAGCTTCCTGCCGAGCTGTGAATTCTTCGTCAAACTGCAATGATCAGCACCATAAATGTACACTTCATAATGCAGTTACAAGAAAGTTTTAAACAACATTAGGTATTAAGTAAGTGGAATGTCTTTTGCTTCTCTGAATTCCTAGGTCACTAAAAAAATCAGAGCTTCATTATTCTCATGACAATTAAGTGGGGGTTGAGTATTGCTGTGGTAGTAGTAAAGAAGAAATATGCACCCAACCCAAGAAAAACAAACCTCATTTTCACTTCTGAAAAAAACAACACAAAACAGCCTGCTAGTGTGGTTCAATGGATGACCTAGGAACCAAGAGGTCACTGGTTCAATTTCTGGTTAGGCCACATGCCTGAGTTGTGGGCTCAATCCCCAGTGGGGGGGTGTGTAGGAGACAGCCAATCGATAATGTTTTTTTATCATTAATATTTCTCTCTCCCCCATCCCTTTCTCTCTCTCTCTAAAAATCAATAAAAAAAATACAAAACACAGCTTAAAAGGGTGAACTGAGAAGTCTCTTTTCATATGTAATTGATCTTTCTATTCTGTTATTGCAAGTTGGGTTTTAGAATTATTCTTTTTTTAATATTTCATTCCATACTTTCAAATTTATTCAAATAGAAAAATGAAACCTAAAAATTAACCATCAAGCAGTTCAACTCCTTAATTATATCTAACTTGAAAAGAGATTGCACCTTTTAGAACACTCAAATGGATGTGCGTTAACACAAATGAAAATATTTATATTATAATCTTAATTGTCTAACATCCAAAACGTAGTGCTTCTTGAAATCTGACAGTAGAGAGAAATATGCCATAATGGCATTCTCCTCTAGTTGGTTAACCAAAACATTTGTCTAAATGTTATAAGAGAGAAAATAAGAGGTTAAAGTATGCTAAGCCAAAGAGACCATCTGAATGGTGAGTTCCCATGTACTGTATCCTGCCCAGCTCACACTCTAGTCAGAGCTGTAAGCAGGCCCAAACAAGCCTGCATACTTAGAATACTGCTTATACCTAGCTATAGAACATTTGCCCTTTATTATCAGTATAACTTAGAGTCACTTCTAGAAGTCTACACATTATTCCAATGATCTTATTTCTGTTTTGATCTTTTACTGTACAAAATTATCTTTAGAGATTGTAAAACATAAAAGTATGTTCACTACACTAATACATATTCATCCTCACAGTAGATTTGACCTTTGGAAGTTATAAAATGCCACTCAGATCCTAGTCTGAAGAAAGAGTGGGTGAGTAAATTGGATAATCACAGTGTTTTGGTCAAATTTGTAATATTAATTAATTAATTTATTCATGTCTAATTGAGTCCTAGGAAAATGTCCCAGAGAGGCTGATCCTAACTTCAAATTCCAAACCCATCCCATGGGGATCCTTCAGTCAGCAAATGACCTTGTTTCCTAGTTCAGAGAAGATACTTCATTACTTTCTCTATTGAAGAGGATAAATGGGGGATAAATGGTAATGGAAGGAGACTTGACTTAGGGTGGCAAACATACAATACAATACAATACAATACTATACACTAATGGTGTATTATGGAAAGACACACTTGAAACCTGTATAATTTTATTAACCAATGTTATCTCAATTAAAAAAAAAAGATATATCTGATACTATACTCTTCTCCTCCTCTCAAAGGTAGCTTCTCCTATGTGCTTGTCAAACATGGTGTCTACACAAGCACACTATAGTTTTCCCTTATAAAAGGTTTGTTTGCTAGTACTTTTGAAGAGAGGCACACAGTGTTTCTGCTGGAAACAATCTTTATCTATAAACCCACAGAAGGAATCAGAGAAATCTGAAATGTGTGAGCTGGGAGACTTATAAATCCACTAAATTTATCCACTCCTTTTAATAACAAAAAACTATGATCCAAGGAGAGTAAGTGGCTTACCTAAAGTCACAGCTAATTAGTGGCAAAGCAGAGATCAGATCTTACAACTACTGCTTCTCATTCTAGCGCCCCTCATTCTCTCTCTCTCCCTCTATTTTTTAACTGCTTTATACTGCCTCTTAAAATCACCTAGAATAAGAGAAAATATGCAGACAACCCCTGGAAAATCATTCATGTTTCTTCTAAATGTTGCTGATGGGAATAAAGCACCAAACACTGAAATTTCTTTTTGTATTATTTCAGGACTCCTTTTCCCATAACATGCTTACAGAAAACTTTATTGGATAGATTGTCACAATTTGCTCCAGTCTTGTGGTCTCTAATCACAGTGCCAGTGAAAAATTAAGGAGATTCTAAGATTTTCACAGAAAATTTTAAATGTGCTACTTAAAACAAGAACATTAGAAATATAAATGTCTATTAATCAAAAGCATACAATTTCTTTCCCCAATAAAAATGGCATATCCACACAAACATTTTATGCTCAAGCTCTTAAAAATCTATTCTAGTAACTGAAAGAGCAAAGACATTTCTTCAGATGCCCTGAAGTAACTTCAGTAACACTCTATAATTTCTAGAGTGATAGCAAAAGTGATTATCTAATCTCCAAGGTAAGACATAACTTTGAAGAGACAGCAATATGTAAGTACTTTATCTTGTTGTCAGAGGCTGAAAACTAGAAAGCCTTTACACTTGTGCTTCAGTCCTTCTCCCTGCCACCAGCAGCAGAGAAATACCATACTAACACTTCATAGTGTCTAGAACAACAACAACAAAAATGCAACCTTTGGTACAGGCTAATAAAATTCTAACTATGCTTTCAGAAAAAAAGGAAAAGGCAATCTAACATCTTAATGAAATTAAAATATTTAAAAAGCTGGCATTTACATAAGAAGAACCTCAGAATGCACCAAGACTACATGAAGCAGCAGCATCATTTAAAAACGATTATAAAATACAAAGAAAGTAAGTCTAAGCAGCGAGAAACCCACACACAGAGAGAAAACACTGCATCCTTCTGTTGCTATTAATAGCAATGACTTTAGAGTATAACAGATAAGACTAGCTAAACATCTCACAGTTCTCCAAGGAGATACCTATTGTGAGAGCTGCAGGAAAGCAATGGAGAAATATATTTTGGTTGATCACTTTTAACTATAACCTTCATTTATCACTTTGGTAGACTAGGGCTAGTGGATTTCTTCCATAATGGATTAAAGGTGATGAGGAGGAAACAGTAGCAACCTTATCTTATCATGAAAGAAATCAATATCCTCTAGTTATGTTTGAATCCAGAAACAAAGTACTACATTACTGAAACAACATTTATAAAGCCTTACATAAAGGAACAAGATGGAACAATACTGTGATTAAATTATTATTTTAATAATTATGGCTAATATTTTATAAGCCTTACCTTCTTTGAAAATTCCACAGCTTTTTGTTCACTTTCTTCAACTTTTGCCTTGTTTACACAAGAATCTATTAAAATTAAAAAAAAAAACTTATAAATTATTGCATCAGATCTCTAGGCAAAATATGGCTGCCAGCCTGCAACTCTACTGTGTAGAGTGAGACAATCATCCATATGCCAATCACTATTAAAGGGAAATTGACCTAGACCACAGAAAACATAAACCACCATAAATATTCTTTCTTTTGCATACTAACTGAATTCAGTGATAGTACTGTTGAGGCATAAAACCAAGCATCCAAATATACAGTATATTTGACTAAATTATCATTGTTTTAAGGTATTTAATTATTTTGCAACTTTCATAATTACAGAATTCTTTATAAATTGGTTTGTAGCTTATTATGGGTAGATAGGTCCCACAGAATCTATGCTTAAGATTATTAAAACTCAAAATGGTCTTTAAAATAAGGCTAGAGGTAGAGATACAATAACATTAATTAATTCAGGTTTCCCAAATAAACACTTCACTTAAATAAATTATAATGGGGGCAGAATATATTCTATAAATAAGGAAATAAACATTAAACTTCTCACATCTAATCAAACACTTCAGACTATAAATAAGTGAAGAACTTCTTTTGGACAATATTTTTCTTATCATACATACAGTCTCTTCTGTACTTAGCCATGCCACACCTATTTATTTATCCCCCCAAAATAAAAATGTATATCTATACCCAGACTTGCATATGAATGTCATAACAGCTTTAACTTTCTGGGGTGATAGATTTGTTTATTATCTTGACTGTGATAGTGGTGTTAAATAAAACTAAATGTCAAAATCTTATCAAATCGTGTACTTTAAAGATGGGTCATTTTTCTTATGTCTAGAATACCTCAATATTGCTTTTCTTTTTTCTTTTACTTTATTAAAGAAATGTGTGGCTGGAGCAAGGCAACCAAGGAGAAAATTGGTAAATGAAAGATCAAAGAGGGGCCAGACCTATGTTGTGCTGGCAATGATTGGTAATAATCTTTATTTAAATCTCAATCAGAAGGTATCAGGTATCAGAAATTAGGCAGGAATAGGATATGATTTATAAAAAAAATACAAGACTTACAAAATTGTGAAATCAGAAGAGACTCTATTCTCTTTAAATCCAGATGATATTAAAACAGAGATTCATAAATTTCCTAGAAGTTCTTTAAGCACCTGAAAATTCTTGTGAATGCACATGTACATGTGTGTTTGCGGACTCACATGTCTGTGTGTGTACACGTTCTAATGAAAGTTCCAAAGCATTCATCAGCTACTGCAATGGGCCTCTTACCATAAAATATTAAGAACCACACATATATTTGACTTATATGAATTTGGCAATTGAGGAAACTGAAGCCTAAAAAGTTCAGTAAATTGTTCCAGTAATAACAAGTCTACGATGCTGATTATCCTCTCTCACTTGGTCCCTTCATCTCGCCCCACCCTAGTACTTTGGATAACAGTACACAATTATAAATACCTGGCATACAGTACACAAAACAAATGTCTGTGAACACTGAATGAGCTAGCCAAACTCAACAGCAGAGTATGTGTACCAATTATAGTCTATAAGAGATTATAAAACAATACAAATATTTAGAAATGGTCCCTTATAATTTTCTAAAAATATAAAATAAATTACTGAAGCTCAATAAAAAAAAAAATATGTAGTGACACCAGCATTCACATTAATTGCTGGGCAAGGCAAAAAGCATTTTGCCTTCAAAATTCATACCCTCGCTTACAGAAATCAATCCTAAGAAAAAATGAGGAAAATCCAAACATTTATATAAAGAATGTTCACATGAGATTCATTTTTAGTTCTGAAAAACTGTAAATAATCTAGATGTACAATAAGAAGGAACTAATTAATATGATATGGCATTCCATAAAATTGAATGTTATAGAGACACTCAAAGTCCCATTTTAAAGGTTTATATGGAAAAATTATCAAAGTCTGATTTTAAAGGTTAGCATGGAAAAATTATTGTAATACAAATGCTCCATGATAATTTCACGTATTAAGCTGAGAAGTGAGTTTGGTGCTTTATTCCATTACATAAGTCTCTAGATTGCTTAGAGTAAGGAAGCAGGAGTTTTAAAACAAGAAAAGAATAGCCATGTCTGGGTAGAGCATCTTCCCAATAATCCAAGGTTTTAGGTTCAATCCCCCGTCATTGTGCATATCAGAAACAACTGCATAAATAAGTGGAACAACAAAGTTGATGTATCTCTCTCTATCCGTCCCCCACCACCACTTTCTCTCCCTCTCCTTCTTCCTCTCTCTCCAATAATTTTTTTAAAATACATCCTATATAATAAAATCCTAATATGCTAAGTGTCAGACCGTTCAACCATTCAACCAGTCCCTATAACACACACTGACCACCAGGGGGCAGATGCTCCAACTGGTAGGTTAGCTTGCTGCTGGGGACAGGCAGATCGGGACTGGGCTAGACAGGCTAGACATGCCCTAGAACCTTCCCATGGTCCCTCCCTGACCCCAATAGTACATCATTGGGGTCCCCAGGCTTGGACTGCACCCTCTCACAATCTGGGACCCCTTGGGGAATGTTGGAGAGCCAGGGTCAGCCCAATCCTCACAAGCCAAGCTGAGGGACTCCCAGTGGTGCACAAATCCATGCACTAGGCCTCTAGTGATAAATAATAATAAGGAATTCATCTCTAAATATTACTATGCATCTTCTCTGTGCTATGGCATGAAAAATATATGTATAATTGGCATTCAACAGCTGTTGTTTACTTCTTGTTTAGACATACTAGAAGCCCATTGCACGAAATTCGTGCACAGGGGTGGGGGAGTGTCTCTCAGCCCAGCCTGCATCCTCTCCAATCTGGGACCCATCAAGGAATGTCTGACTGCCCATTTAGGCCCGATCCCACCGGGCAATCAGACATCCTTCTCACAATCCAGGACTGCTGACTCCCAAATGCTTGCCTGCCTGCCTTCCTTCCTGATTGCCCCTAACCGCTTCTGCCTGCCAGCCTGATCACCCCCTAACCACTCCCATGCCAGCCTGATTGATGTCTAACTGCTCCCATGCCAGCCTGTTTGCCCCCAACTTCCCTCCTCTGCCAGCCTGGTCACCCCTAACTGCCCTCCCCTGAAGGGTTGATCAACACCAACTGCACTCCCTTGAAGGCCTAGTCCCTCTCAACTGCCCTCCCTTGCAGGCCTGGTGCCTCCCAACTTCCCTCTCCTGCTGGTCATCTTGTGGTGGCCATCTTGTATCCACATGGGGGCAGGGTCTTTGACCACATGGAGGCAGCCATATTGTGTGTGAGAGTGATGGTCAATCTGCATATTACTCTTTTATTAGATAGGATAGAAGCCTAGTGCATGGATGGGGGACAGCTGATTTGCCCTGGAGAGTGTCCTGAATCAGGGTGGCGGTTCCCTTGGGGTAAGGGGTGGCCTGGGCAAGGGGCTGTGGTGGTTTGCAGGTCACCCACACCCCCTGGCAACCCAAGCGGAGGCTCTGGTATCTGGAATTTATTTACCTTCTACAATTGAAACTTTGTAGCCTGGAACAGAGCCAAGCCTCCTGCTCACTCTGTGGCCGGCAGCCATTACTATTGGGACTTATGTACCTTCTATAATTGAAACTTTGTAGCCTTAAGCATAAGCCTGAGCTGGCCAGGGTGTGCAGAAAGCTTTGCTTCCTCCGTTGCTGGGGGCAACCCTAGCCTGCTCTCTCCAGCTCTGTGGCTGCCACCATTTCTGTTTGGATTTGTTTACCTTCTATAATTGAAACTTTGTAGCCCTGAGTGGAGGCCTAGGCCAGCAAGAGCAGGCGGAAAGCTTGGCTTCTTCCATTACCTGAGAAACCCAAACCTCCCTCCTGCTCTCTGTGGCCATAGCCATCTTGGGTGAGTTTATTTGCATACTCCCTCTGATTGGGTGGTGGGCGTGGCATAGCAGAGTGATGGTTAATTTGCGTATCACTCTTGTATTATGTAGGATGAATTTATGCTTGAATCTTAGCAATAGTGATTTTGACTAGGTATAAATAAAACTATTTAACTGTAAGGTCAGATCGCACAGCATATTTCACAAGAGAGGTTTCACATCATCCAGAGATTGTTCCAGAAAGTATAGCTAATTAGGAGTATAGGATGATATAAGGGATTTCCTCAGCAATCCAAGTAGATGAACATAAACTTCTGAAATTCTTTTCTAGCTCAAAGTCTGGAAATATAATTGTTCTACTTTGATAAATTAAAAGGTCTTAAGTTACTAAATAACGCTGTGTTTCTTTACTCAATCTTGAACATGAATAGCAAAGCTATATTATTAATTAGACCATATTGTACATGTGATTTCTATAAAACCATTAAGGTACCAATATAAACAGAATCAAATTATTTTAGAATCATGTTTCTAAACAGCAAGGCATTCATGAATAATAATACAATGTATTTTTGTAGAGTATTAATTTTAAACTGAATTCAAGAGAGTTGAAACCTGTAACATAAGTTCATATTTTCAGTCACACAGGCAGAACTCTCATGATATTGTAATAATAATTATAGTGATTGAGTACCCATAGAAACATTGATTTATTAGATATTAATAAAGTTCAGTAAGAGATATACTTTTGAAAAGTGCTTATTTTACAGAAGAGAGTATAATACAATCAAAGAACATTAAGGATTATATTACATACCTATCAGATGAGTTAAATCAATGTCTAATCTTTGTCTATACTTGAAATCGGGGTCCATACCACTGCAGTGCAGCACTATCTGAGAAACACACTCCTCAATTATTTTGTAATACTGTGGCCTGAAAAAAAGGAAAAGTATTCTTAAATACCTTTTCTACCTACACAAATCAATTTTCTTAAGAGTTGATTCACTGTGGTAAAATAATCATGTCTTTCTCTAGCACTGTTTAAAAAAAAAAATCATTCCAGTCATTAGACTACCTTAGAAGAAACATGCCCACATTCAAAGACGGTCTGTACATTATAGTGCAAAACCCATTATGAAATAATTAACTGTGAACACTTAGTGACTTAATACTCTAGTTTTCAGGGATTCAGGAACAACATACTTAAAAGTAAGCTGTTGTTCCTAAAGTTAATGAAAACAAATGACTTCATATTCCCATATCCATGGAAACAGTCCTAGGCTTCTACATGTTCTCAATTTCAATGAGGGATGGGTATCTTGGCATTCGATGGCAAGCAATGTCTTGAATTTACTCCAATACTTTTACTCAAGATTAGCTGTAACAGCTTACAAAACTGGACTGAGCCACTTATGCTACAGACCATTTCAAAGATCTACCTATGAACATATTTTAAAAGATCCATTTTATAGTCACATACACACTTAATATGCATGGCTAGAGCCTCAATTTGTTCAAAGTGTCTAAGGTTTTAAAACATATCTTAATTCTGTAATCTACCATGGTAATTCTGGCCTTAAAATGACCACTTGCATACATTCAAATTTTTAAAGACACTTTTTACATTAATATTTGGGGAAAATTGAGTATTAATCAATGGTGAATTAATTCAACAAAGAAAAATCAGAAAGAGATACTACTATACACAAATTATTAAATAAACATTCCTAAAAGTGTGTGCTAATAACTAACCAATCTACTAAAAGTTTTCCAATGAAGCCAAAAAGATTCAAATTGTTCTTACATGTCCTTTGTCATAGGGATAATATTAAGAATGAAAATAAATAGTAATATATAGGGGCAGGCAAAAGTAGGTTTACTTTTATAAGAGAAATAAATAAGAAAGAATAAACTGTTTTGTGTACTCACAACTGTAAAGCTACTTTTGCCCACTCTGTATATTACAGATCTTAGGTTCTTTCAAGTCATCTTAAGGCCTACGTTAATTGATATCAGATTATAGTCAGTCTAGTCAATGCCTCTTTGGGTAAATAAGGAAAACACAATTGTTCTCTTTGAGAACAGGCAATTCCACCTTGCATGGATGTTCTCAGGATGAAAAGGATGACATATTAGAGCAAGTTCTCATTTCATCACTTACTGAGAAATGGGAGGCATTGCACAATTTCCCCAGGTAACTGCATATACACTGCCACAGTATCCCTTTAATCACCAGAACTGATTTTATAAAACAACAATAATTTCAAGTATATTACCATCATTCCTACTTTTAAAAAATTAACATTTAATATTTTAAACATTTTTCTATGTCTCTGAAATATCATGATGTCATCAGTTATTATACTGGTCTGAACTATATAAGAGTTTTCTATGTGGCTTTAGAACTTTCATTTTTGTTGCAACTGTACCTGGCCTCAGGGTAGCCTTCCTTTCTGCATTAATCAAGTTTTGAGAAATCAGAAAGCCTAGGTTGCCAGAATGTCATGCATATTGACTATGAAGAACAACTAAGAGTTTCTGAAACAGTTAAATATAAGATCAAGGTCATCACCTAATGGATAGTTTCAGTCACTCAGAAACATTTCTCTAACTTTTTGGCTTTCAAATATAGTCCTAGTTATTAGACTCTGAAATGTCTAACCATATGGATTCTTCTCATAATCATTTATTTTGAAGAATTATATTAGTGAATATAAAGCTGAAATTTAGCATTATTTTCTTAGATAATAACATATCTATTACTAGAAAAATACCATAAACTAGAAATAGTGAAACTTTACTTATTAAAGATAAGAACTTAAAGGTTCTACCATAGATTCTATAGTGCTGACCCTGTGTTACAATTATCTAGCAAATTCATCATAGGGTCAATAAAATATTTGGATTCATTGCTATTAAAAGTCCTGTCACTTGGGTACCCCATTTTTATAAATAAATTATTCTGCCCCCCCCCCAAAAAAAAGAAATGAATACCATTTACAAAATGGTACCTTAAGTCATAAAGCTCTTACACTTCTGAATGCATATATGCATAGACTGCCTAGGCCCCACTACATAGTTAATTTTCCTTTATATCTAATTCAACTTATACAAGTAGTACTTTGAGAACTACTTCTTACCTGATATAATAATCATTTCTGATAAGCAAAAAATGTTGTAGAATGGAAAGTAAGTAATTTTCAGCAGCTGTGTCCTTCAACAAATTATACAGAAGATGGTATACTTCATTCATATCAGTAAAAAGTAAGTCAAGGAAAAAAAATAAATATTTTTCATGAAACTTAAATTCACTGATGTATCATTTTGTTTTTAGTACTGTTTCTAAACCTTTAATTCTATGTTCCTGTATTGCATTGTTTATATAAAGAAACATAATGTATGGAATCATGTTAATATTTTGACAAGAAAGATAGATTTGAAGAGTATTTCTAAGACCATTCAACCATCAAAACCTTAAGTGATCAGTTATCCATTATATTTTAAACTCCAGATTATAGCTGGTATCAATGGAACAGTAATGCCATTAATGCAAATGGTTTTCTCTTGAGCTTTCTGTAGTTGTGATAGAGGGAGGGCCTATATTGTTCATGAAAGCCACTATTCCTCTATTTTTACTATGACATAAAATAGAAAGATAAATGAGCATTCTGTGGATTGATAAAAAAATCACAAACCAGTTTTATTTTATACAGATGAAATACTTAATGAAATCTGAAATTATTATTATTTGTATTTCTTTGTATTTCATCATTCAATAAAACATGGATAATAAAGAATGAAACTTGGAACATTTTTCTCAGGATATAAAAAGAATGGTTGAAGTTCAAATACTTTTAATAAACTAGAAAACATATTTCGAAACTGGATCAGGAAAATCAATACAAAAGAAAGGTAGGAGAGGAGATGTAATCCAACATCCTAAAAATAACCTAAAATGTCAACATTTTTAGTGAAGTAGAATTAAGTGTATGCTAGATCACTCTTTAGACTGCATGTAAGAATACTGTGTTAAAGTCTCATAAGATCCTTTACATGGTTACAAAATGGGTCAAAAAATAGCTTTCTGATGAAGTTTGATTATAAGAAAAATCTATATAAAGCAAAAAAGCAATATATTTACTAATTGACATAAAACATTTAATATTATAGACACCCTATAGACTGGAGTCACTAATGATAGATTAAAATTTATGAGAAATTATCTATAATACAAAATTGTTATTTGCTGCATACCTCTTTATCCATTACTTATGGGTAAGACACTTCAATCTAAGCATTGGAAGAAAAAGATGAAATACAACATTTCTGACCTCAATCTTAAGAGGCATAGAAGTGTACATTAATAAACAGATACAAACAAAATATTTTGGGAGTTTTCAAAAAGAGGAATACAACTTCCAGGTATTTTTGAGAGGGGAGGAAGAGGAAAGAAGGCATCACAGAAAAAAAAAAAAGAAAAGAAAAAAAAAAGCCCATCTCAAGGTCATTTTGGTTCTGAAGTATGTCCCAATTTCCCCAGAATCCAAAAGGAAGAACATGAATGGGTGTGAAACAAATGGCAACCAATGCTGTGACAACCATCTTTAAAATATAAAATCATTTCATATTAAATAACTGCCATAGCCAAGATTTTACACCAGTTTGTATTTCACTTGAATGCTTCTATCACACAGCCTTATTATAGTCAGATACTATTACATCTAAACATTTCTTTGTTTTGCTAAGGGACCAAAATATTTGGACAATCGGGCACTAATTTGAATTGAATTACATTTCTAAACCACTGAGTACCATTTAGTAAACTGAAAAAGTATATTACCTATAGTCACATATGAACTCAGTGAAATCCCCCTCCCCCCAGAAATTTTTATGTATGAGGTATATTTCTTTAGGCTCTTTCTTTTCAAGACCATGGAGGAGAACATACCACCACTGTGCAGATTTCAATATAACCTGTGTAAATCATCCAGTCAGGCAGTTCCTCAACACGAGTCTCCAGGACAGCATCACAGTGAGGTTCTAATATAAATAAATGGATGTAAATTGGGCTTGCAGATAAGAATTCTAATAATGATTCACAATATCATGCACAAATCTTTTTTTCACAATGCATGCAAAACGATTTTTCTGGCTTGTCAAAAGGATATTCCATTTCTGCTCGAATGTCGTTGAGACGATGTGATAACTCAGTTAGGTCGTCCTCTTTGTTTTCATCAAATACTCTCAACTGAATATCAAGCTCATCATTCTCTTTTTCTTTCAGATCCTAACATTTAAACATAAAACTTAGCAGATGAATAACAGTTTGACAACAGAATATTTTGGTAATAAAGGCCAGACACTTTTATTCATTTATATACACAGAAGCAATTCAAATATTGACCCTACACACTTGGTTTCCTAAAAGAAAGTAGAAGTGCTACGTTTTTCTATTTTAAAATAAAAGAACCTCATTGCATTTTCTTTTCATGCCCAGGATTTTGATTATTTACATTAAAAAATTAACAATCACTTTGACAAAGGAAAAGAAAAAACTATTTGCTAACAACCCAAATTAAATGCTGTCGTTTTGACTAAGCACACTAACTAAAGATGACAAAAAAACTTATGCAGTTAAAACATTCGCATATGCCTCTGGCAACAATGCAAATATAGAAAAACTGTATTAATCAAGAACAAATACAAGGATATATTCAAGCACAACAGTCCCAAGTATGGCATGAAAAGTGAAATAAACAGGTTTATTTTAAATGATATTTTATGATTTAAAGTAAAAAGGCCTTTTTATCAGGATGCTTATCTAGCTTCCTCCCCCACCTTCCACATTTGCTTAGTCCAATCACAAAATACCAACTTGGGCATCAAAGATTTGTTTTTGTAATACATTATAAGCACATGCATTACACACCTCTGATAATTTTCAAAATAATAATATAAATGAAATCTTTGGAAGCATGCCACACTAGAGATTGTTAGGCTTAATATATATCACCAAGGGTAGCTTTTAATATGTGTCCATTAAGTTGCAGCTTTCAAAACCCAAATGGATAATCACAACTGTGGATGCTCAAGAGTGATACCAAAAGTGGGACTAGGATTTTCAGAGCTGAGCTTGAACTCTGAAAGGAAATGTAAGCATGATGTACTTCAAATTAGATCAATAAAACAAAATGGGATGCATTTCTTGTTTCTATTTTTATTCAATAGAACAATTATAAATGGAGATGTAATAGCAAGTACTAGAGCCAAACACAAAATTATGCAATTTCTAGATGTGTTATTATAACATTCTTAGACATAATAATCAACTGAAAATTTACCTAAATAGCATATAAAAATACTTATTAATATATATCTATATAATATCATATAAGTATACTAGATGCCCGTTGCATGAAGATCCATGCAAGGATTGGCCTTCCTTCCCCTGGATGCTGGCACTGCCTTTGCTCCATCCGGAGCCACCTTTTTGTCTTCCCAGGCTGCCCAGAGGCTCAGAGTTGCTGGGGCAGTGTGGAACGTCTGCATCATCACCATGTGGATGATGCAAGCATCCTGCCTGTACCACTAGGGACCTGAATATGCAAAATAACCTATCATCTTTGTTGGGTTAATTTGCATACTCACTCCTGATTGGCTGGTGGGCATCACGAAGGTACTGCCAATTTGTATATTTTTCTTTTATTAGTGTAGATAACAAATAAATGTATTTATACTAGTTTCCTCTTTAGTAATAACTTGTTTTAGGTCTTGTTTTCCACTTAGAAGGGGAATGAAATCATTTACTGGAATGCAAAATTATAAAATTGTGGGTCATATTATCACCTGATTTCTGAATTCTGTTCAGAAAACAGCAGAAGCCAGACATACCTAATATGCTGGCTACTGCAGAAACAACTTTTAACACATTTAGAATATAAATCTTATATTTTTGGGATACCCTGTATATAACTTTATTTCAGTCAAATATCCAACTTTATGAAAAATACTAGTATATCCACAAATAATTAATAAAATAATCACTTAATAAATAATAATATTTTACATATCACAATTGTGACAAATATCCTGTAAAGTAAATGAAAATGCATAACTAAAGTTTTTTTTGTTATTTTTTAAAAATATATATTTTATTGATTTTTCACAGAGAGGAAAAGAGAGGGATAGAGAGTTAGAAACATCAATGAGAGAGAATCATCCATCAGCTGCCTCTTGCACACCCCCTACAGGGGATGTGCCCGCAACCAAGGTACATGCCCTTGACCAGAATCGAACCTGGGACCTTTCAGTCCGCAGGCCGACGCTCTATCCACTGAGCCAAACCGGATTTGGCCATAAAGTTTTATGTTTAAAAATGGAGAATGTCAGATGATGTGTTGTAGAATTATACACATGAAACCTGTATAATTTTGTTAACCAGTATCCTTCAATAAATTAAATTTTTAAAAACTTAATTGTAGAATATTATAAAATTACTAAATTACACTATTACTAATTGTGTGAAATATTATAAATATGTTTCAGTTATTTATTTAAACAGACTAGGTGTATAGATATGGACCATTTTAGGCAGATTATTTGAAACATATAATTCTCTATAATATAATATACTTCTGCCCAGTTGGTATGGCTCAGTGGTTGAGTGTCAACTTATGAACCAGGAGGTATTAGTTCATTCCTGGTCAAGGCACAAGCCTGGATTGTGCACTCAGTCCCCAGTGTGGGGCACACAGGAGGCAGCTGATCAATGATTCTCTCTTATCATTGTCGTATCTCTCTGTCTCTCTCTCTGTCTCTCTCTCTGTCTCTGTCTCTCTCTCTCTCTCTCTCTCTCTCTCTCTCTCTCTCTCTCTCTCGCTCACCCTTCCTTTCTGAAATCAATAAAAATATATTTAAATACTGGAATGCAAAAGAATAAGGATTCTTCAGAAGAATAAGAAAGGGATTACTAGTCTTTTTAACGAGATTAAGAATGCCTGCTGTCCACAGACACAACTTCTTATTTTCATGTTCATTTTCATATCTGATTTACCTAATATTTTCCTATGTTAAAATAAAAGGTCAATGGGGGCTTCACAAGAAATCAATATAAGTTAACTATAGAGCAAATACCATTTTATGAGACTGATGCACTACCTACTGCGCTAAAGAGGCACCTGCAAATACCATTTTAAAAATCATTTTATAGTGACTCATTTATCCTAAATTACTATAGCAAATTTATGAAAAGTGAATTTCCACATAAATGAAATATAAACCCCCTTTAAAAACTGTAACTTATCCATGGAGATGGAGGAATTTTGAAATTAATTTTATACGGATTATATTAAAATAATTGTCCTTGAGGAGTCTGATAATTATATGAAAAAATGTTTTACTCTATTATAACATTATAGTGGTCTCAGGGACTACTGAAGTACTAAGAACTATTTTCCCCCATCACTTAATGATTCCAGATAGTAATAATTTTTTATCCATATACCAACTACTAATGTTAGCCATGGCCATGTGTAATTGGCTGCTTTATTCTAGAATCTCTATTCTCAGGGGGTCTGCCTGAATTCAGGTTCTTATCTTCTACATCAGAAATACCTGGAAATAATTTTTCTTTAAACCAAACACCTCTTCCCCACCCTCAATCAGATCTTGATAGTCTCGCCAAAACCTGTTTGGCTCAATGGACAGAGCATCAGACTGCGGACTGAAAGGTCCCAGGTTCAATTCCGGTCAAGGGCATGTACCTTGGTTTCAGGCACATCCCCAGTAGGGGGTGTGCAAGAGGCAGCTGATGGATGATTCTCTCTCATAGATGTTTCTAACTCTCTATCCCTCTCTCTTCCTCTTTGTAAAAAATCAAAAAAATATATATATTTTTAAATCTTGATAGTCTCTTCTTAGGGGAACATGACCAAGGTTGTAGCTTAGAACCAGAGGCATATTTGGCCATATTTCTCTCTGTTGTTTTAGGGACAAAAAGAAAATTGAGAATCCTTGTAGTTTCTATTTCAAAACTTTAGGAAACAGAAACATGACACTCTCCACATTTCTCCTGCTTTAGAATCACCGAGACCTGAGAAGCAGGACATATTAAAGAGGTGTGATACTTAAAGAAAAATGTAACTGGGAATATTTAAGAATGCATATATAAGAAGCACATGGTGCCACAAGAGGTTTTTATATGGCTATAGGGCCAATGGGAAAGTGTAGCTTAGAAACACTGATGCAAAATCTTAGCTGTCACTGTAATAAAAAAAAGAACCTACCATGAGACCACTAAACCCAGCAGAAATTAAGACATCCAGACAAAAGTGTAAAAGGTCAGTGCAAGAGCTACAGTACATATTCTTTCTGAAAAAAAAAAAAATGAGGACTTAAAAAGTTGAGAGCCACAGTATACTTGACAGCCATTCAGCAATATAAGGCAAAAATGTTTGTTCAATTATAAATAGACACAGAGGAATAAGAGGTGGAGGGGTAATAACAACTAAGGCAGAAAACACAGCATATTAGTAAATGAGCAGAGGATGTTAAGGAGCCACAAGCTAACAAGTGCCCTCAAGCATTATTCCTCTCCCAGAACCAGAGGACTAATTCAGGGAGGACAAGCATGAAAACCAGTGAATAGACAACTCAAAAGCAAACTAAAATCAAGACTATAACATTATCTCTAGCTACTGAAGGCCAAAGACTTTTCATGAAGACAAATTTGTGACAAAACAAGAATAAATGTGTTGCACACACTAGATCTAGTTATATAATGTGCCTATATATATTAACTGTGTATTGAAACCTCTCTACGCGTCACTTAAAATGTTGCCTTAATTAACTACAACCAATTCCTTGGTCTTTAAATTCAGGGGTTAAAGAAACATTCAATGTGAAAGTGACATAGAAATTTCTAAAATGAAGACAATCACACGCCTGATGAAAACTGGTTTCAATAGACCCAATCGTCCATTTTATGATGATGTGTTTCAACTAATTTCAGTTAGGATTGTCACAACACAAGCAGTTGATTCATACTCCATTCTAGTTCCTCACCAGGAAACGCCCCTTATTTTGGTATTTCTAGTGTACCCCAAGTCTTATATGGACATTTTTTTCTTTCCTCCGTTCTTTTTTACTTTTACTTCTTACTTCTCAGGTGTGACCTCTGTAGCTTAAATGAAGACACTAGTGAGATTTTATTTGTCTCCTTTAAAAGTACTATGGTCTGGGGAAAATTGTTCTTCAATTAACATATTAAATAAAATATAAAGTCATTAATTGTTGCATTTGTATTCAAAGAATAGGCCTGCTTATTAATCTGAGAACAAGCCTATAAAGTTATTTCAAAAATGTTTTTAACAGTATTATAATTAGAGCAAATGTTCCCATAGAATTGTTTTTTCTTTAAAAAAGTTCATATGGCCCTGTAATAAGAATACCACACTAAAGTAATGTGTCAAGAATATACTAATCAAAATTCTATACATATTTATGTGGAATAGAAATGAAATCAATGTAAGTTATCAAAGCAAAAATGTTTAAATGAAAATTGAAACTGCAAAAAAATAAAAAATAAAAAAGTAGTCTTTTATGTTCTCAGTATTTACATACAAAGAAAAGAAGTTCCCTTTAGACTTCTGGAAGGAAAAAAACAAAAACAAAAAACAACAACAAAAAAAAACCACTCTGGACATAGCACCAGGTACATTCTGAATTGTCAGCTGCATATAAGGACTAATATTACTGCAATTAAAAAAGCTTACAAAAGGTTTAAGGCTTTACAAGAAAAAATAGCAAGGCACAGTTACTTACCCTGTTGCAACTCTAAAAATGAAAACTGTTAAAGTTCATCAGCATAATAAATGTGTACACTCAACTTACTGGTAATATTGTCTTTAGTCCAGAACGGAGGAATTCATTCCTTAAATGTATTCGAAAATCAAGCTCATAAGGAAAAGTGACAAGGGCATTTATAAACTGCATGCAAGCCACCTGCAATTAGAAATAAACCCTTATTTTAATGTTTTTAATTAAAGAAATAATTAATGCATTCACACCATTATTTTTCTATTTACTGAAGGCATGCATACATATAAAAATAAGAAAATGCAAATATTTATAAAAGTTTAAGAATGATTATGATTTTAAAGTATAAACAACAAGATGAATAAAATTTCTAATGTGCAGAGTAATTCTAATGAAGATATGGATGGTCAAGTACTTCTATGCTTTACTGAACAATATGAATAAATATTAAACTCTCTCTTGAGAAACTCAATGTTCCAACAGTATGCATAAAAAGCATTTTAAAAAGCTCATGAGAAAAACAAAAACAAAAACAACAAAAAAACCTCATGAAATGTATCTTGCATATCCAGGTATCCTCAGTTGAACTAGGCTCAATCCTATATGGTTATAAACACTTTGCCAAAATAAATCGGAAAAAGTTATAAAAGTGCCATAATATTAATCAGGCAACAGTGATAACTTATGAGAAATAATTATAATGATTTATACTCTCTCTATTCTATTATTGGAATGGATTTGCACAAAATTTGGAGTATTAAAATATATGATTAATATGAATTTATTTGTTATGTATAAAAGTGAATTAAGATCAACTAGAAGGTACTTTGATACTATAATAATACTAATGTCCATGCATATTAAATATAAGGGCTTCTATTCCAGTGAAGGTGATTCATTAATTATATTGACACTGGAAAATGGGTTTTGCTTTTCTTACTTTCTGATATTGAGGCTCTCTACTATAAAAGGGGAATTTTTTCTTGTAATTGAAAGCTAAATGGGAATAAACAAAATGCTAATTGGCAGGTATTCCACATATTATTCCTGAATAGCATTTTTTTAAAATGCTGCTCGAGTCTAAGGCAACCGGCCTATTAATAGTTCAAGTGAAGACCACACATTTAAATCAATTATTTTTAAAGTATTCAATGAGTGGTACAGTAAGTGCTCAAAGAGCTGACTGCAAGGGAACTCCGGGAAAATACCAATTTTAGTAAAGATGCCATGTATATATAGAAGGGAACACCCATCTACACTAATAAAAGAATAATATGCAAACTGACCATACCTTCATGACACCCAACAGCCAATCAGGAGTATGCAAATTATCCCAACAAAGATGGTGGGTTAATTTCCATCCAGCAGGGCGGGAGGGTGGGATACCTGATATGAGGGGAAGCGGGGGGGCTACAGGAGTGGCACTCCAGTGGAAGCAGAGAGGACTCCAGCTGGACAGAAAACAGAAGGTGGAGGCCAGAGCAAAGGCCTGGGTCCCAGGTGCCAGCAGCCAGAGGAAGGAAGGACTATTGCATGAACCTTCATGCAATGGGTCTCTAGTAAATCAGCAGTTAGTATGGGCTCTACTCTATCTGCATAGTGTACCCAGGAACCTGGGAACTCTTTTGAGTGGCAGGCTGATGTCTGTCTTCTCCCCTCTTTGATTTCCCACCTATAAATAAAGCTGTCCCTGAATATATCAGCTCCTGGATGCCCCACAGTGATGCCAGACTGACCAGGTAACTCCTCTAATCTTCAAGCCATCTTTCCTTCTCAGAGGGAGAACCAATCTCCTGAGGTTGCCAAGATTAAATAAGCAGAGAGACTAGGGGTTGGCAAACTATAAACTACAGGCCAGCCACGGCCCAAAGTTCTAATGTGGTGAGCTGCCTGCTTGCAGCAATGAAGTTTTATTGTATCACAAAAATCATATAAAAATAGCAAAAATACGAATTTCAAATGTATTTTGATTTCACTTATCCAGACTTAGCATTATGATATTTTTTTTTTTTAAGTAGAAAGAAAAGATTAAAAGGTATATTGTGCCCTGGCCAGTGTGGCTCCATTGGTTGGTGTGTTGTCTGGTATACAAAAAGGTGGTGGGCTAGATTCCAGGTGAGGGCACTACTCCAGAGTCTGTCTGTCTCTCTCTCTCTCTCTCTCTCTCTCTCTCTCTCTCTATATATATATATATATATATATATATATATATATATATATATATATATATATACATACACACACACACACACACACTAGAGGCCCAGTATATGAAATTCGTGCATGGGGGGGTGGGGAGGCTGTTCCTCAGCCCAGCCTGCAACCTCTCCAATCTGGGACCTCTTGAGGGATGTCAGACTGGCAGGCAGAAGTGGTTAGGGGCAATCAGGAAGGCAGGCAGGCAAGCAGTTGGGGGTCAGCAGTCCTGGATTGTGAGAGGGATGTCCTATACTAACACAGCCCATACTAACACAGTCGGACATCCCTCTCATAATCCAGGACTGCTGACCCCCAACTGCTCGCCTGCCTGCCTTCCTGATTGCCCCTAAACACTTGTGCCTGCCAGCCTGATCACCCCATAACCACTCCTCTACCAGCCTGCTTGCCCCTAACTCCCCTCCCCTGCAGGCCTGGTCACCCAAAACTGCTCTCCCTTGTAGATGTTGTTCCTCCCAACTGCCCTCCCCTACTGGCCATCTTGTGGTAGCCATCTTTTGTCCACATGGGGGCAGGATCTTTGACCTCATGGGGACAGCCATCTTGTGTGTTGGAGTGATGTCAATTTGCATATTACTCTTTTCTTAGATAGGATAGAGGCCTGGTGCACAGGTGGTAGGGGCTAGCTGGTTTGCCTTGAAGGGTGTCCCAAATCAGGGTGGGAGTCACCTTGGGGCATGGGGCTGCCTGAGCAAGAGGCCTGTGGTGGTTTGCAGCCCAGCCACGCCCCCTGGCAACCCAAGTGGAGGCCCTGGTATCTGGGGTTTATTTTCCTTCTACAATTGAAACTTTGTAGCCTGGAGCGGAGCCAAGCCTCCTGCTTGCTCCATGGCAGCAGCCATTTCTGTTGGAATTTATTTATCTTCTATAATTGTAACTTTGTAGCCTTCAGCAGAGGGAGGCCTGGGCCGGCCAGGGTATGTGTAAAGCTTGGCTTCCTCCATCGTTTGGGGTAATCCAAGCCTCCCTCTTGCTCTCTCCAGCTCCGGGGCTGCCTCCATTTCTTTTTGGATTTATGTATCTTTTATCATTGAAAATTTGTAGCCTTCAGTGGAGGCCTAGGCCTGCAAGGGCAGGCAGAAATCTTGGCTTCCTCCATTGCTGAGGAAACCCAAGCCTTCCTCCTGCTCTCTGTGGCAATAGCCATCTTGGTTGGGTTTATTTGCATATTTGTGCCTGATTGGCTGGTGGGTGTGGCTTGTGGGCATGGCTTGCTGGTATGTTGGAGTGATGGTTAATTTGCATATGACTCTTATTAGATAGGCTATCTCCCTCCCTCCCTCTAAGATCATTTTTTTAAAGGTATACTGTTTTTATTTGTATATTTATATCTTTTGCATTTAAGATGTTTCTTTGGGAGATTAGCCCATTTACCACATATCCAGGTTCAAAAATCAAAAGTTGCATGCTTTAAAGCTCATTACTGGGGTTGTTTCTAACATTGCTAAATATCTAAATAAAAATTGAACAATATAGTGTAATTCCTACAAGTGCTTAAATGTCAAATGAAAACATTTATACAATTGACTAAATATCTGCCTATAAGTAGCATTACTTTTTAAAAGACCTATCTGATAGAGACTAAAAAAGCAATTCCATTTACTATCGCACCAAAAATATTAAGATACCTAGGAATAAACTTAACTAAGGAAGTAAAGGACCTATATGCGGAAAACTACACGACACTGAAAAAAGAGATAGAGGAAGATGTAAACAGATGGAAGAACATACCATGTTCATGGATTGGTAGAATCAACATCATCAAAATGTCCATACTTCCTAAAGCAATCTATAGGTTCAATGCACTCCCCATTAAAATACCAATGGCATATTTCACTGACCTAGAAAGAACTCTCCAAAAGTTCATTTGGAACAATAAAAGACCCCGAATAGCCACAGCAATCCTGAGAAAAAAGAGTAAAGTAGGAGGGATCTCAATATCATACTTCAAGCTGTATTACAAAGCCACTGTTCTCCAAACAGCCTGGTACTGGCATAAGAACAGACATATAGATCAATGGAATAGAATCGAGAACCCAGATATCAACCCAAATCACTATGCTCAATTAATATTTGACAAAGGAGGCACAAATATACAATGGAGTCAAGAGAGTCTCTTCAACAAATGGTGACGGGAAAACTGGACAGCTACATGCAAAAGAATGAAACTAGATCACCAACTTACTCCATACACAAAAAATAAACTCAAAATGGATACAGGACTGAAACATAAGATAGGAAACCATAAAAATACTAAAGGCATCCACAGGCAGCAAAAACTCAGACACATGCCAAAAGAACTTCTTCACTGATACTGCCCCTAGGGCAATGGAAGCTAAAGAGAAAATAAACAAATGGGCCTACATCAAAATAAAAAGCTTTTTTACAGCAAAAGAAACCATCAACAAAACAACAAGAAAGCCCACTGTATGGGAGAACATATTTGCAAATGTTATCACTGATAAAGGTTTAATCTCCAACATCTACAGACAGCTTATACAAGTAAATAAAAGGAAGATGAATGATCCAATTAAAAAATGTGCAATGGACCTAAATAGGATATTTGCAAAAGAAGACAGAAGGAAGGCTAAGAGGCACATGAAAACATGCTCAAGTCACTAATTATCCGAGAGATGCAAATCAAAACAACAATGCAGTACCATTTCACACCTGTCAGAATGGCCAACATCAACAAATCAACAAACAACAAGTGTTGGCAAGGTTGTAGAGCAAAAAGAACCCTTGTGCACTGCTGGTGGAAATGCAGACCGGTGCAACCACTGTGGAGAACAGTATGGAGCTTCCTCAAAAAATTGAAAATGGAACTCCCATTTGACCCAGTAATCCCACTCCTAGGAATATATCACAAGAAACTAGAAACACCAATCAGAAAGGATATATGCACCCCTATGTTCATAGCAGCACAGTCTACAATAGCTAGAATCCTGGAAACAGCCTAGGTGCCTGTC